TTGGAGAGCCAGATTTCTTCAGAGATGGATCTTGTACATAGATCACACTAATAATGGATGGATGATGCTTCTTCTTCTTTACTCTGGATAATTGTTGTTATGTTACCCAAAGGTAATACAGATGTTCCAACAGTGTTATAGGGCAGCTGTAAGCACAATGGGTGCACTGGCATATGAACAAAAATAGCAAAACACAATTTTGATATCAATGTTATGGAGTGCAAAAATCAAGACCATAATGTGGTCTTTTTTAAAAAAAAAAAAAAGTCTTAAAATATGTACATAGGATGACCAGTTCTGATATTTGGTCATGGTGCATGGGGTGTTTATTAGTATCCTTTAATGCTGCCTAGGTTCTTACTTACAGAATGAAATGCATATCATATTTACCTGATAGTTCAGTTTTGCAAAAGGACTATAGAAATAGGTAAATAATGTTTCTATATTAGGGGCAAAAATACATTTTCACCCCATTAAGCTGACTTAAAATAATACCTGATTCTTAACTTTGAACGAATCCATTTTTTCTATACACTTTTAACATACTGAAAAAATGTCATATCGTAATTGTGACAAGTTACATTTGCAAAAAATACAACATGTCAGATGCTTTGAGGAATAAATACAGAAGGAAGAAATTTTAAATACAATCAGAAAATAGGAAAATAAGAACTCTTTCAAAAGCCACCTAAAACTTCTTAGGTCTAAAATGCCTATAGATAGAACCCTATCAAACATGAATTTTAAAAACGTTGCTCTGGATACAATGGCATATTATTTTGAAAGGTGGTAAAGACAGTTCCACAAAACTTTCTTGCCTGTGTATTTATATTGACAGCTGCTGACCCTATTTTTCAAAATATATTATGCAAACATTTATATTTGCATGCTTTTTTGAGTTCTTTTTAAATTTCTGACCAATATAAATGCTTGTTCTCCTGAGAAAACAGTATTAAATCTGTAAAAGTTTTAGTTATTCCTCACTTGTTACAACTGCAAATATTTATCAATAAAACTGATACCAAAAACTTGGCTTCTGATCTTCCCTGCAACGTTCTTCATAGTATCCTTGCAACACATGGTAGTGCGTAGGTTGATACAGTTGTTCCCCAATACCAGGCTTTACTTACAAATTTGAATTCAAGTTACATTTCTATCTCATGGGACTTTGGGCAAATATTATATTGAACCTCTCTGAGCCTGTTTCCTCATCTTCAAATGGGGAATAGAATACCCTTATTTACAGGGTGGGCGTGAGAATTAAAAGTCAACATGGAAAGAATAAAGTGTTACATATATTATTACTACTTTATCAAACTTTTCCAGCTCAATAATTATTCCCTTTTCAAGAATGTATGAATTAAATGCCACTTAAATGCACTTTTACCCAATTCTTTAGAAAAGCATACTTTAAAAATCTGATTTAATTATTCATCCACGCTTATTTTAAGATGGAGGACTATGTGAATCTGTTACTGCTTTGCTCAATATGATTCAAATTCAGTTTTCAGTTCATGAACATCACACTGAACCTACAACCAGGAAGTATGTTTCTTTCCATGACACACATACACAGATATATGTATATAGATGTGTGTATGCATGTGTGTATAATATTGTAGGTTTAAAATAAATGTTTAAATAAGATAAGTCATTGAAAAATTTTATTTCCAAAGGAAATAAAACAACATTCCCAAGGACAGGAAGAATATAAACGTCAAATAATTTGCCAAATAAATATGGGAAATAAAGCTAAAACTAAGTTATGAGAGACTGGCCATGAGAAAACACTGAAATTGGCATGGAATAGAAACATTCTGGTATTTTTTTTTTAATTTTACCATGAAAATATGAAAATAAAAGAATAAAAGGTGGTTGTGTGTTCATAAAATTTTTCATTAAACCTTTTAGTTTAGAATAGTTTTAGATTCACAGAAAAATTGTGAAGATACTGCAGAAAGGTTCCATATACTGTACACCCATTGTGACATTTGTCACAACTAATGAACCAATATTGATGCATTAAGTTCACACTTTATTCAGATTTCCTTAGCTTTTACCTAGTGTCTTTTTTCTATTACAGGATTTCATCCAAGATACACATAATATTTAGTCATCCTGTCTTCTTAAGTTCCTCTTAGTTGCAACAGTTTCTCAAACTTTTTTTTATTTTGAGGACCTTGACAGTATTGAAGAGGACTGGTCTAGTTTGTAAAATGTCCCTTAATTGGAATTTGATGTTTTCCCCATGACTAGACAGGTATTACCAGTTTTTGGAAGACCACAGAAGTGAAGTACCACTTATATCACATGATATCAGAGGTACATACCACCATCATGACTTATCACTGTTAATATTGACCTTGGTCAATCTGATTGAGGTAGTGTTTATTAGGTTTCACCACTGTAAAGCAATACATTATTAGATCATATTAGAGGTAAATGTACTGGACATTAAAGCTGAGCTAAAAAAATTCTGAGGAGATTCCTCAGTACTGCTATTAGGTTCCATTAAATGACTGCTAACAAATACTATGGAGAAAATATAATAAACTGGAAAGTGCAATGGGAAAATAAAGCTCCAACACTATGTTAGCTTGAATATTCACTTAATGGAGGTGAAAGTGAAATTTTTCCCTTGAACTATCTTTACTTTATCCTTTACATTCCTTGGATAGTAAAGACTTTAGTTTAATTGTCATAAGAGGTAATTTAAATCAGTAATCATTTTGCTGAGTGCTTTTCCATATTGCCCTCAACAGAACAATGAGTACTGATTATTGAAATAATGTAAAAGACTTGATTTTTCCCCCTTGCTTTAACCTATTTGTCATAAATACAGCTTCTTGTATATGATTTTAGGGTGTTTGCTAAATACAGAAAAATAATTTCAATGTGTTGGTTCTGTAAAATTTATCATATTGAATGTGTGCAGTTTTTTGCTACCATGTTCATTGTACTTAATAATCTATATCCATATTTTGTAGTCCACTCATAATAGTGGACCATAAAGGAATTTTGAATGCATGAATGCAACTTGAGACACATGCTTGGTTATTTTGCAGTGTCAGAATAACTGTAGGTGCTTATAAATTGAATAGATAATCTAGATTACTTTTCTTCCAATTTAAGTTGTTTTGGGTTTTTATTTCCCCATTCTTGAATCTATTTTATTATTTTACCTATGTAGAGATAATAGACTTCCTGAAAATGCTAGAATCTTCAATATGTAATAATAGAATTTGAGCATGACAATAATGTAAGGAAATTCAGAAGTCTCCAACTATTTTTTTTTGAGTTTTCAAAGTAAATCAAACTACGTTGTTTTCATTTAACTATATTGTGGAAACCTATGGATATTATTGTAAAATGCACATGCATTACACTTTTTAAAAATGTTTTGAATTAATAAAGAATTCACCAATGTATCCTTAGACAAGTTACTGTTTCCTCATTGGTGTAACACTATAGGAGTAAAAGGTACACTTATATTACTTAAATTGCTTATACATCTTAGGGAATATAATTTCTGGCTGGATTCTTCACAGCGTTCCATCAGGTTTTTTCCCTTTTATAGATAATATTCTTGAAATGACTTGAGAATTCAGCTGAGAAATTTACTGCGTTCAAATGACTCCCACCAGTTCTATGGTTTAAAAAAAATTCAGAGTTTAGACTTGGGAAATAGCTGATTCTAATAAAGATAAAAAACGACCTGATCAGTCCTGTTCTATACTTGGATCAGAATTAAAATGGGTTTCAACCACTATCTTAAAGAAAAACAATTTTATAAAGCAGTGTGGCTTTAATTCATAAAGTGAAACGAATAGTTGAGGTAATCAGTTGGAGCTTTTAAGTAGCAAAATCTATTTTTGCTTTATATAATTTGGAGAGTCATCTCATTCCTCCACTTCACTTTGCATTTGTATGTATAGCTAAGGAGTGAATAGAGAGAATGCAAGCTCATCTTACAAGAATTTTATACCTAACCTCAGTAGTTTTGATTAGACGACTTCAGGATGACTTAACCTTGCCAAGGGCTCCCGTATTTACCATTTGATTTTTTAAAAAAACAAACTGCAAGAGTGTTCAGTATTTCAGCTCTCCCAACAGTGAAAACATTTAGTACACTGCGCAAACCAGTCAGGTGATGGGAATTCCCAGATTGAGTCAGCCCTTGGATCCCCAGGACTGTCTTGGTTATATTTACACCCTCCTATCCATCCCTCTGGTGGGTTGTGAAAAGCTCTTTTGAAAAATTCAAAGCGTTATACCAATAAACCTCAGTATCCCTGGCACCAATCCGCTATCTCAAGGTTTTTGGAGGCAGGTGGAGGTTGGGCTACCGAAGGCGGGACTCTGAAGGTTTTGCTGCGCTGTGGTTTACTGGAACACGGAATCACTCAGTCACTTTTAAAAGTAGCTAACGATAACTCGGAGTGAGACTGGAAGGGCAAGAGACTCGGTGAGGACGGAAGTCGTTTGAAAGCAAGTAAATTTCGTGGCACATAAAGGCAGGAAAGCAGATTTGGGGAAATCACCCTCCTTGTTGCCTTCGAGTAGACTAGTCCCGTCCTTACCCACGGTCGAAGAGACATAAGCAGAAAAAGAGGAAGAGGAGTAAACACACATACACACAGCGATGCCCATCCTACAAATCACTCTTGGAGACGAAAAGCCAGGCTGGTACTGGAAAGGACTTTCGTGGCTGTGTCCTCAGCCCCGCTAGCGGACTACACTACTCTCCACTGCGGTACTAGAGATCCTCATTCAGTGCTTGGGAAATAAATCCTCGAGATCGGAAAACCGAGTGGCCAACTTCAGCATCCCCCTTCCTGCCCAACACACCGCCCTGGTACATTCAAGGAAGCGTTTCCGACTCAGCTTCTAAATGAGCCGGGGATCTCCGGCACCCACTCGGATCACTTCCCGCCCCGCCCCCTTCCGGCCTCCGCGACTAATAAGGCGTTTAAATGTTCGCCACTAATTTCCCACCGAGGCTTTCGGGAGGCCCTTTAAAACTGGCGCGTGCGCCGGGCTGGGCACGGTCAGTTCTCGCCGGATTCCAAACTCCGCGCGGTGTCGCGAGATTCGCTATCCGAAACTTCCGGCTCTGGTCGAGCTCGGGGGTTGCAATGCAACTATGAGGTGTCAGTTTCTTCGGAGTGCTGCTCGGTGTCTGTGGGCTGGCAAGGTTGTCAGCCCGGCCCGCCGGCACCTAAACTGCGGAAGCCTGCCGCTGGAGGAGCTGTTCGCTCGCGGCGGGCCCTTGCGGGCCTTCCTGGAGCGTCAGGCGGGATCTGAAGCCCAGTTGCAGGTCAGGGGGTCTGAGCTGCTGGCGGCGGCCAAACTGCTGAGCGAAAAGGAGCAGGAGCTGCAGGAGACCGAGCACTTGCTACACGGTGAGGGCCGGGCCCAGGGGAACGGGATTCAAAGCCGATTCTTGACTCTGCGTTTGCTTTTCCCACTATGCCGTTGGTCAGGTGTTCACACCTCCCCGCGTTAGATGTTCTTTACTCAGTTGCAGCCCTTTCTGGTTTGGATCAGAGGTCAAGGCATCGTTGTGTGCGTTCTCATCCCATCCTTTCCTGTTTGAGCCCTTATAGTCCCTTGACACAATGCTCCGCCCCCTTTTACAGAATTTAAGTTTACTGATTGCCTGCTGTCTGGCGGATCTTTAGCTCACCAAGGACAAGTGAGGGACTGTCTCTGTTATGGGCTTGAGAGCAGTGTTTCTCAAAGAGTAGTAAAGAGACCACCTGCGATAGTGCCAAGAGAGGTGCATAGCCAGACTTTGGACTCAGAATCCGAGACCTAGAAATTGGCGTTTTTAACAAGTTTCCTCAGTGATCTGGTGTGCATTCAAACATGGATGGGTCCTAAGTTTCTGCATTTCTACACCTCCTCTTGGCTAGCATGGCTCTAGAGAGGGTCACAGTGTATTCAGGGAGAGAAAATTAATACCACAGCTGAAACGTGAGAACAGATACCTGAAAAGACACCTAGGGAAAGCAAGGAGAACTTGTTGGGAAGAGGCCTTGTGCAGGGATAAAGGTCCACCCTTAGAGAATACTAAGAATAGTTTAACCTTTACTGATCTTTTACCATACTCTATTATTCAGGCTCAGTTTTGCTTAACTGTTTTTATGTATTAACTCCTCCAGTTCACATACCAAACTATGAACTAGGTAGTGTTAGCTCGCGCACGAGAAGCGGAACATGAGGCATAGATGTAAAATAACAGCTCAGGCGAAACAGCTTTTAAGGAATGGAGTTTGGATTGGACAGACTCCAGATCTTATGCTTTCAATCACTGTACTCTTTGTTAACCAAGGAACAGGCAGGTGGAAACATTTTGTAAGGGTGAGGGTGTGAAATACTAATCTAAAAAGGTTGATTTTATCCTGTTGGCAGAAGGGAGCCAGCGGAAGCTTTTAGATTGAGGGAGTGAATGTTAGAAATGGCTTTCTTGCTTAGAAAGCTTGATTTGAGGTAGTTTCAAAGTCAACCTGGAATGAGATTGCAGATGCCATGGAAAACAGAAGACTAATGCAATAGTCTAGGTGAGAGGTAAGGAGCATCTAAATTAAGTGATTTAAGATAAAAAGTAGATGCCCCAAAGTGGAAAAAAATTAACCATATTGGGAAAAATACTTTTGGGGGAAAATTAAATTGGTTTCATAGCTTAAACCAAGCTTAAAAATCAAGTGGATTTAAGGTTTAAATATTTTAAAAATCAAGCTATAGAGAAACAATGTTAGAAAATTGTTACAGGCAGAACACAACTCACCTTTATATAAGGATAGAAAACATCACTGAGCAACTCCTGAGTTACTTTATGTCAGACACCTCTAATTACCAAAAAAATAGGGAACTACTTTTTAGCTTACAGCCTAGTGAAGAAGAGCAATGTTTAAGAAGTAAAAATATAAGTGGATAAGTGCTTGTTTTAATTTCTGCAATAAAGAGCAATGTTATAAAAAGCAAAAACTGGCTTCCCGACAAAGAAACTGGATTTGTTCTTACAGACTGTGGGAAGTTAGCACATGTTTTTAAGCAGAGAAGTGACATCTTTTTAAAGAAGGATTAATATTGGCCTCAGTGCTGAAGATGGATTGGGAGTATTTGCCAGGGACCCCAGTGGCTGACAGGCCAGTGAGGAGGCTGTTAAAACGGTCCAGGGAAGAGGTGGTGGTAAGCAGGAACCTCACCAACAAGACATTCTAACAATAGTCTGCATTTGGAGGCTTATGTCCTGGGAAGGGTGAAGAGCCAGAATTCTAAGAAAAATCTTAAGCTTCTGGGTTCAGAACATGAGTGATACTGTTAATTAAGATGAGAATATAAAAGTTGGGTAAATTTTAGGAGAAAGATGTTTTGCCCTGAACAGGCAGCCATATTTAACTAGGAGTACCTGTAAGGACATTCAGATAAAGATCATGGTCTAGGAGAAAAAACTACTGGCACAGGAGAAAAACTGAGCCTGAATAATCATATGAGAACTCTCAGCATATACTTGATAAGGTAAAGCTTGGAAGCAGATGAGAGTACTCAGGAAGAATTTGTAGAGATACAAATAAGATGCTAACAAAGACAGAAATACATAGTATTTGAGGAGCAGGCAGAGGAGGAAGTTATAAAAGATCAAGAAAGAACAAGCAGACCTTTGGGACCTTGAACAAGATAAATGAAGGTATAAAAACCAGCTAAAATTTCAAGTTAGGGATTGTTGATACCTGACTTAAAAAGGGCTCATCTTTTCAGCTCACATTGAAATAAGCCTTTAGATTTGGCAATTTTGTCATGGGTGATTTTAATAAAAATGGTATATTGATATGAGTATGAAATCCAGTGTAAGAACTTGAGAAGTAAATGACAATTAACAAGAGAAATAATAAACATGGCATTTAATCTCCTGAAGTTTGGATAGGAAAAGAGGGGGTGACAACAAGTGGGTACTTGGAAGGGTGAAGAGAAAAAGACCCTTTTACCTGTGATAGGTGCCCAGTAAACATGTTGATTAATAATACTGAATGAGAAAGAACTAGTGTATTTCCATTGCCTAGAAATAACTACTCAGTTTAAACCCTCTAGAGCCAATAACCATATATGGCTGATGAGCACCTATAGTCTGAATTGAGATGTACTGTAAGGATAAAATAACACAACAGATTTCAAAGACCTCATATAAAAAATAATTTTTAATATTTTTAAAGTACATGTTGAAATGATAATGGTTTGGGTATACTGGGTTAATAAATAAAATGTAGTATTAAATTACTTCTAGACTTTAATTCCAATCTGCTTAGCCTTACAGAAGAACTGCACTTCAGAACTGAAAGGCACCTTAGAGGTCACCCAGCCCAGCTCATTTTTCTCACGATAATAGAGACTCAGAGAAATTGTAAATGTTGGCCTAAGAGAACCTTAGTGGTTGAACTAGGACTAGAATTCCTTTTTCCTTTTTCTATTTCAACCCATTTGCCATTTCACCAAATTTCTTCCATGCCAGATTCTTGCCAGAATAATTTCCTGCCTTTCCACCAACACTTCCCATCATTGCTTATCCCACGGTTTGTGTTGTTGTTACCTCTCCTTGAGTTAATGCTTCTTTCCATTTTCTGCCCATCCCCCAAATAAACACAAAAACAGTCTTTTAGTGTGCTACCATTTTAATATTTAATCAGCTGGTGTTTTAGGTTGTTATTCTTTGTGAGTTTTTCTCCCCTAGAAAATTATAAAGAAACTAAAATTATCTAAGACCCTGCCTTGAGAGCAGGTCTTACATATTATTATCTCTAATTCCCAGCATAGTTGGATCTTCATAAATGAACAAACACACAAACTGATACTTTGGAACAGTCCGATCTTTCACCAGAGTGAGCTGCTCAAAGAGAGCTATGTGTAAGAGCTAAAAAAATTTCTCTTCTCTCCTTTCTGAAGGTTGCATGTTGTCCATAGGATAGAGGGATGAGAAGGTATATTTTGTAAGATAAAAATGAAAATTCAAAAGATGCAATAAGAGTAAAGCGAGTTGAGGGGGGAAGTACTTCATGTAAACATTCTGTGACCATGAGGCAGGATCTAAATACTTGGGTGGATATTTATTTTATATTCATGAAATGTTTGTTAAAGAAACAATAAATTTCTATTTTTTAATTCCATTGTGGTTTAACTGATGGAACCTTCTAGTCCCCTTCTGGTTTAACTACTCGATGTATTTGTTAGTAGTCTAAGTTGGAAAACTAAAAGCATTTTTTAATATGAATATTTCATGGAGGTAGAATTATAGAATAGTTTAATAGCTTCTTTATTTTTCTGTAGATTCTTATTTTTTATTTTACTTATACTTCTATCATCAGGAAAAATATTTTTTGTTTTAATAAAATAAAATAAAAACTAATGCATAAAATGCCACTTGTAATTAATGGCAGTTATTAAAGGACAAGAAAGACATTTTATTTTTCCCTTCAGCTACAGTAATAATAAAATAATGACTTTGAATTCTGTTGGCAGTTTGACATTAAGGAAAACTTAAGATACTGCTTTATTTTCGCAGATGAAAATGAAGACTTAAGGAAACTTGCAGAGAATGAAATAAGCTCATGTCAAAAGGAAGTAACTCAGTTGAAGCATCAGGTATGGTATCTGTGCAAAGAACAGAGCATTTGTGCTATTACTTCTAATGAATTTTATTAGAAGTTTATAAAAACAACTCAAGAACCAAGTAGCTTGTTAATATTTAGAATTATAAACTTTTTTAAAGCAGGAAGAAGCATACTCCATGTGGTCCTATTTTTATCATACCCCAAAGATTGGAGAGCCGTGGGAAAAAAGGTGACTGTCACGTTGATAGGATTTTTTGGAAAAGCAATGAAATAAATATCAGTATTATATTTGCCCCCTCTTTAGATTATTTAAGGGAGGTGGGGGGGTAGACCATGGGTAGAAGAGGTTATGGAGCAGTGGTAGAGAGTGAGCTCCTTGGCAGCAGGAATATTTCTTTCCGTTTGTGTCTCTGGCACTGTTAGTGTGCCAGGCCTAGAGTGGGCCCTTGGGCTTTTAGAACTGAATTGTAGTGCTTTGGTTTTATATCTAGGAGAATCTATAGGCATTAGATGAATAGTAATCATTATATTAAATAAGAACCACTCTTTGCTCATTCTGGAAACCAGAGCTTAAAGATTTACAGTAGTTATCTCTGAGGATATAAGTAAAAGGACGTGGCACAGTGAGGAAGGAGCCCAGAAAAGGGGGAGCTGAATTTAAAGATTCTGTCTTTAATCACATAATGGACTCATCAAAAGTTAATGTCCTTACCACCCATTCCAGAGGGAAAGTTCCACTTTGAAAAGTCTCATGTAACTTGTCTTCTACCCATTTTCTAATATTGTGAAATAAAAGGACATACGTTCTCTTCCAAATTAAAGAAGCTTTAAAAGATAGAATGTGAGGGTTTTTTTTTTCTTTTCTGCTGTAGTAAGCTATAGATTTCAGGACAGAGTTAGAATCTTCTTTTGCATTCTACACAATATAGTGTCCTAGTCACAACAAACTCTTTTTTTTTTAGTCATAAACCAATTATTTAATTGAAGCTATAAAAAGGCAATATAATAAAATAATTAGGAAAGAATATTTAGCATGTTTCAAAAGATTTAAAACAGGAGCAGGACACTTTACAAAAAGTTGTGTGGGAAATAAAATTCTTAAACTATAAGTAGAAATGTAACATTACAGAGTATCTTATAAAATACAATGACAGAAACATAAAAGGACTATGTATGCTCTAAGTCTGAAAACTATTACTAGTGACTACATATTTAAATGTACAGTTCTGGGTTAATTAACTGAATAGAGAACTGACATAAAATTATACATGAACATCAAAAAGAAACAAAACAATGCAATGCAACATAAGTTTCAGCTGGACCTTACAGCATTTATAATATAGTTGTTACACTAATATTTTATAGAAGTTATGCATTACTAGATGGTTCTTATTGGCAAGAAAATTGAGCAATCAGCAATACTGTTTGCTTAGAGAAACTTTAATATTTAAAATCTTGCATCTAATCATTTAGCTTTATTTTTTGTTAAGTTTTAAATAATTCCTAATTATAGGAGGGGTGATATTTTTGTATTTACAGATTATTTTACTTTTGGTTCCCTCAGAAGAAACAGATGAAAATGATTTGATCTTGGAGGTAACTGCAGGAGTTGGGGGTCAGGAGGCAATGTTGTTTACTTCAGAGATGTTTGATATGTATCAGCAATATGCTGCATTTAAAAGATGGCATTTTGAAACCCTGGAATACTTTCCAAGTGAAATAGGTCAGTAAACTGTTTAAGTCGTTTTGGGAAGAGTACGGATTTAGTTTATCTACATGTGTACTGGGAAAAGGGTTGGAAAGACCATGAATAAGCTTTAGAATTTATTGATAAGGAAGCTTACCTGATTTTATGCTCATCATTTACTTAATAATTTTGAGTACAGATATGTCAGTTTTGAAGTGGTCTATAAAATGTTAGTCATTCACTACTCGCCATTGAATGATTAATGGTCTTTTAAAAGGGGCCTTTTAGACATGTTATTCAATCAGTTCATTAATACCATAAATGCTTTATGTTTACTGGTTATTAGTAATAAAGGTATTAAATATTAAAACACTGAATATCATGGATTTGCTAAGGTTTTTCAATGTGTTTTACATTCTGTATGCTTCTTTTGTTTCGTAGCTCTTTTCAATGTATTTCAAGATGGTGGAAGTGATGGTCACTTGTTTATAAATCACAAGAATAATAATTCTGTTTTCCCAATATTTTCAAGGTGGCCTTAGACATGCATCTGCCAGCATTGGGGGTTTAGAAGCCTATAAGCACATGAAATTTGAAGGAGGTGTGCACAGAGTACAAAGAGTGCCAAAGACAGAGAAGCAAGGCCGCATCCATACTAGCACCATGACTGTAGCAATATTACCCCAGCCAACTGAGGTAAGGCATCACAGTCTCTCCTTGGAGTCCTGGGCCCAGCACTGCCCCCATAGTAACAACTCATTTTACGAAACTGATATTCAGTACTAAATTCCTTTTCTTTTCATTTGGCCTTCATCACATATTTTGGGTTTTCTGGAGACTCTTTTACCTCGGTCCAAAAAGTATGATTTCACAACAGATGGTAACAATTTATAAAGATGTATGAAGGACCTAATGTTGCACTATTTATTAATTTTTCTCCACCACTAAGCTTAAATTAGTTATTCTGAGATCATCTCTATAGAAGAAACATTATTAATCTACTTTAAATAGGGTTTACTGATTACTTTTCATAACGATTTTTGCTTTGTCTGACTTTCCCAGAGTGTTAATAGTAAGAGTCATGTTTTAACAAGGGTAACTACTTAACAGAATTGCTGCATCATAACCCAATCACACTAAAATGGAAATATATTGTTACAGTGCTCATAATGAATACACTTCATTCTTACAAGCAAATTCTCAGTCTGTGTATTTGTAAAAAAAAAAGTTGTTTTGCTTCCATCCCTTCTGCTGAAAGTGATAAGAAATATATGACTTGTTTTTCCAGGATGAAGTATGAATGACTGGTGGAAAAGGAGTTTAATTGAGGGTTTCTAGTAATTTGGGGGAAAGGTGCTATTTGACTCTAAGTTCCTTTCTTTAGATCTAATTTTTGTGTAAATCCTAGATGTGGCACAGAACAGTTAAGGAAGAGCATGCAGTAGAATAAATGGCAGGAGCCACATCTAGATCCTAGTCAGTTTGGTTTAAGCATGTTGGAGATGGAAGTAGTTTACAGGAGAAGATGGGCTGAAGTCCGTATTTAATGCTTCTAGCAACCGTACAAAGGAGCCACGTAGGGAGACACTGAGGGCCTATGAATGGTAGGAGACCTGCTGCCAGAGTTGTGGACATGTCGCAGAGGGTCCACAGCTGTTCATGAAACAGAGCTTTTTAAAGCTAGTGCTCTAGATGGTGACTCCCAACATGAGCATTAGGCTGATGCTGGATCCCAGTGTATGTATGACTTCTTGGCTTTGCCCTGTGCTGTTCCCATGTGCCTCTCCCCTGCCTCCAAATATGTTTAAGTCCTCCTTTATTTAAAATTAAACAAAATAAGCCTTCCCACTGTTCTTAAACTGGCATTGTTTTTTTCCCGTGTTGTCTTTTTAAACTCAGAAGTAATCCACAAAAGCTCACATTGGTTCCTGCATTCCCATTTCTAATATTAACTAAGTTCTTCTGTTCATGCGGTAAGGAGAGGGTAATTTTACAGAGAAGTCTAGTTTTTGAGGATTTGGAGGCCTTGTTTTTGTTTTGTATTATATTTTGATCCACCACTCTTCTAAAAAATAGATGTTTTAAAAATGGTATTATTCCAACTACTTTATATTCTTAAAATGAAAACCTTCTTAATCTTCTATTTTATACATGACATGTATTTATATTTATAAATGGATAGTTCTTGCCTTTGAACAGTTCGTATACATGTGATATTTTTAAGTCCCAGTATTTCCTCTTGTGTATAGATTAATCTGGTGATTAACCCGAAAGATTTGCGAATTGATACTAAGCGAGCCAGTGGAGCTGGAGGACAGCATGTAAATACCACGGACAGTGCTGTCCGGATAGTTCATCTTCCAACAGGTATGTACTTATCCCTTCAGCATAAAACTTTGAAGAAAGAAATCAAATTCTGAATAACTTGACTAATTCTCCACTGTAATAGATCCTTAATTACCAGAATATATACTATTATTAAAGTATATAATATATTATTATTAAATACTTTATTTAGAATCCTTAGATGAAACTCTGCAGGATAATTGCAAAGCCAGGAAGACGGAGGGATCTAAGCCCAGAGAATTTCCATACTGGTGACCATGAAGAAAAGGTGTGGATAGTGCTTCCAGGTAGCTTCCTGAAGCTTATACTTAGTAAATATCACTATTAAAAGAAAATCCAGGGCACCTGGCTGGCTCAGTCCGGTACAACATGTGACTTTTGATCTCAGAGTTGTGAGTTCAAGCCCCACGTTGGTGTGGAGCCTATTTAAAATAAAAAAAAAAACAAAAAAAATAGAGGAGCACCTAGGTGGCTTGTACTCTCCCTCTCTCTCTCTCTGGCAAATAAATAAAATCTTTAAAAAATAATTTAAAAAATTTAATAAAATAAATAAAAGAAAATCCTCAGAATGAAGTCATTATCATAGGTTCTTCTTTATCAGAAAGTGCTCTAAATCACTATTTCTTAGCCTTCTTTGAAGGGAGGAGACATAGACTCCTTTGAGAAAGTGAAAGCTTGGACTCGCCACCTAGAAACATGCTCACCTGCAAACTGCTGCACTTAACTTCCAGGCCTGCTTCTCCATGAAGTCCGCCCACAAACCTCCAGCAGTTCTGACTGTAGATAGGCAGTGGAGCAATATCTAAATATTTCTTAAGTCTTCCGTCTACTATCAGGGAGCACTAAATGTGCTTTACAGTCATTACTGCAGTGATTTACATGTGATAAAGCATATGGATAGCAAACCTCAGTTACCTAGAAAGAATACAGGAATCTCTTACCGTGACCAGTCTCAAATAGGCATAATTCCCATGGATCAGCCCTGGTTTATAGGAGCAGACTGATAGGTTTTTGTTTTTTAAAATATGAGGATATCCTTGAGTTAAACTTTATGATGTCTATGTAATACATAGTATGTAAACAGGAATAGGAAAAAAATGGATGAAAATCCTCATAAAAATATGAATAGTGACTCTCTAGTAGTAGGATTAACTTTATTTTTGTTCAGTGATGAGTAATTATTTAAAAAAATTATGGTGGCTAGCTAAGGGCATGGGAAAACAATCCATATTAAATGATTAGTGCTTATTGTTCAGTATGTCTGCCTCCAAGATGAATATATTTTCAGTTTTCTAAGACCTCTATAAAAGTCATTTGTTAATAGTCTTCCTTTTTTATTAGAGTTCTGTTTTTTCTCCTTATAAAGGTAGGAAAAAAAGAAGGAAAAAGAGTATTCCTTGAAAATAAATGAAGATTTTCCTATTAAAACTCTTTAATAATTCTCATAACACTATTCAGGTGTTGTTTCTGAATGCCAACAAGAGAGATCTCAACTGAAAAACAGAGAGATGGCTATGAAGAAGCTGCGTGCGAAACTGTACAGCATGCATCTGGAAGAGGAGACAAGTAAAAGATACAGCGCTAGAAAGATTCAGGTAGAACTGTATTTAAAAGACGCTCTGGGGGAGCCTGGGTGGCTCAGGCGTTAGGCGTCTGCCTTCAGCTCGGGTTGTGATCCCGGGGTTCCGGGATCAAGCCCCGCATCGGGCTCCCTGCTCGGCGGGAAGCCTGCGTCTCCCTCTCCCACTCCCCCTGCTTGTGATCCTTCTCTTGCTGTGTCTCTCTCTGTCAAATAAATAATTACAATCTTTAAAAAATAAAAAATTAAAAAAAAAGATGCTCTGAAGGATAAAAGTATTTTTAGATAACTCAGTTTTTATATATGTTAAAGTTATTTCAATGTATTTGTTAAAATAAGGAAACAATTCAAGTAGCTCAACCTAGGGTTATCTTTGTTTCATAGTAATTTTAAATCCCTACCCTGGTTTCTATATTCAAGGGCTTTTCTCAGACTTTTATTTTTTTTTTTTAAAGATTTTATTTATTTATTTGAGAGAGAGACACAGCGAGAGAGGGAACACAAGCAGGGGGAGTGGGAGAGGGAGAAACAGGCTTCCTGTCGAGCAGGAAACCCAATGCAGGGCTCGATCATGACCTGAGCCAGAGGCAGACGCTTAACGACTGAGCCACCCAGGCACCCCCTTTTCTCAGACTTTTAATCAAAGTTACTAAAAAAGGATATATGGAATTCCCATTTTTGAATCCTTTGAAAATTATGGAAGAAAGTTGGAAAGCAAACTGAACTACTTTCTTCCTATTTGGTATTTACTTTTATAATTACAGAGCCCTTTATTAATTTATGGGAATTTATCACTGTGTCATCACTGAAAATGATCAGATTAATTCACAGATTTTAAATATAGATATAGATATATATTTAGCTACCATTTGAATACCATCTCTGTGCTAGGCTATATGTATACATCATCATGGTGTAGTAGGTATTATTTGTTTGTATTTTATGGATAGGGAAACTAAGTTTAAAGTTGAAATAAATGCCTAAAGTCATAGAGCACTGAAATGGCAGAGAGAAGATCAAATGCTACAAATTTGTCGGCCTTTAAAGCCAGTATTCCTTTTTTTTCTATTATGTTCCTATGTTATTTGAGGATTCAAAATGTTTAAAACTTGGTTCTTACATTGTGTTTCAAATTATAAGTCAAGAGTTTAATCTCCAGATAAGTTAAATTTATAGGTTTAGTTGCCCTGAATCTAACTGTATCTCATATCTTTTTATATAGGTTGGAACTAAAGGAAGGTCAGAGAAAATAAGAACATATAATTTTCCACAGAACCGGGTCACAGATCACAGAATAAACAAATCACTTCATGATCTTGAAAGTTTTATGCAAGGGGAGTTTCTGCTGGATGAACTTGTACAATCCTTGAAGGATTATGCTGATTATGAATCTTTAGTAGAAATTATTTCCAAAAAAGCTTAAATTGATTTATTATTAAAGACTTTTATAGCTTATGAAAATTCACAGCAAGTTATATGGTGTGTAAATACTAGTATTCTCTTAAAAAAAGTGAGTTAACTCAGCTGAAGTAATGTGTGTATTTTTAAGACAGATAATTTATATAAATCTTCTCTTAGGGTATTAGTAAAAAAATACACAATACAATCATGACTCTGGTTATATATTTTGGACTCTTCCTATGAGAAGTACACAAACAAAAACAGTACTTTGTTTTATGTAAAATGTTTAATAAAATGATCACAAATTTGGTTTAACTAATGAAAAACCTCAAACATAAAATAACAGTAATATGATAATAAATACTGTATTAGTCAAAGTCCAATTAAGAGACAGAAACCATACCATGAATTTGAACAGGGCTAATTTTGATAACAAAGAATTTTTAACTGATAATAGGATAAGCTATTAGGGGATAAGAGTGAACTCATACACTAAGACTGAAAAGAGTACCCAAGGGAAGAACACCTTTGGAAGGGGCTTCCCTTCCCCCAAAGGTGGAATCAAGCCTACTGGAGAGAGCGTGGCTTTGGCCCACTTAACAGAAAGGTTTCCTGGGCTGCCCTGGGCCAGAGCTGGTCTGCAGGTGGTGGTGGATCAGGTCTTGCAAACAGAAAACCCTCTGGAATGGTAAGCAAGCAGCCTCCCACCCAGGATGTCAGCAGAACTTGCTATTGGGTTAAGCATCAGTTTGTATCTGCATTAGTGAGGATTCTCCAGAGGAACAGAACCAATAGGATGTGTGAGACTTAGTAGGAGGAATTGGCAGGTATGACGTACGGAGGCTGACAAGTTCAAAATCTGCAATGTGAGCGAGCAGGCTGGAGAGAGCCCAGGGAACTGAGGCTGCAGTTCCAGTCCAAAAGCAATCTGCTTGGAGAATTCTCTCTTGCTCAGGGGAGGCCGGTCTTTTTTCAGGCCTTCAGCTGTTTGGATGAAGCCATCCACATTACGAAGGGCATTCTGCTTTACTCAAAGTTCATTGACCTAAATGTTAATTTTATTCAAAAACCCCTTACAGAAACATCCAGAGTAATGTGGACTAAATATCTTGGCACCCTGTTAACACGTGGTCCAAGAGCACCCTGGGCAGCTGTGCCCCAGATCAGAAACAAGAAGAGAAGCCCCTTCCTCCTACATGTCCTTCCACCACCCCCTACTGACAAAGCAACATGGTACCAAAGGACACAGGTCCAGCTGGGGTAGCACAAAGTAGGGCAATGATGGGTAAATCTGTTGCCAAGAGGCAACAATTTGGTAACTGGCACAAACACCCATATATGTTACCTAATTTAAATAACTGGTATGTTTTCATATTTTCTTGGTGTTAAAAGTTACAAATATTAAATATTTCCATTTGCATTGTTAAAAATGACATTCTCCTCCTTAATCATTCACTATCACACATAACAAAATTCACAGTATTTCCCTAATATCTTCAAGTACCCAATTCCGACGTCTTCAATTCTCCCCAGCTGCCTTAACTGGCTTCTTCAGACCAGGATCCAACTAAGGATCACACATGGCATCTGGTGGTTACATTGTTTAAGTCTAGAACAGCTCTGCCAACTGCTACCCCTTTTTTTCATGACTTGCACTGAATTTTCATTTCAAATCAGGCTACTATGGTGTCATTTAACTTGTTCCTCAAGTCACAGTATTTCCTACAAACTGGAAGTTAGAGCTTAAGACTCAGCTAGTTTTGCATACTCCCTTTCCTCATTAAAATATATATAAAGTAAGTCAGGTTTGAATGCTGATGTGCTGAGACGTACTAGGTTCTCTAAAATACACTGACAGATGAAAGAAATGACTTCACCTTTGTGAAAGGAGAATTATTGTTTAAAGTGCGCTTAAAGCTGAATCGGCATGATCTTCTTCAGTATTTTTTCATCAGAAGATTTAAAAGAAGTTTAGTGGCTCTTATTTACCATGGGATTCCTGGTTATGATTAGCATTTCTGTGAGAAGACAGACTCCAGAGAATTAGGGCCTAAAGAGGAAGGAAGCATGGGAATGTCTGCTTGAGGCTGCACAGCTGTAAAAGACCTCTTGGTGTTGACAGGAACACTGAGTACTTAAGTACTTACTGTACTTGATAAACAGGAGACACCCCATTGTTCTCCCTGGGTGTGTGTGCTTCATTACAAGGAAGAGTAGTAAATTCAACTAGTTTAACTAGGGAAGGGAAGGGGGGGAAGGAAAGGGGATAGGAAAAGAAGAAAGAAAACTGTAGGAAAAGTCCGTTATCCCATAAAGAAGTAAGAAAAGTTGGAAATGCTGACTCAAGTTTTTGAAAACATGAGATACACGAAGGACTACAATTATGAGATGAGCTCTACCTGGTAGAAAATGAATATATGTTAAATTTATAGTAGTTACAACAAGGTAGGCTTTCCAGAGGAAAAAAAAATGATTTAATTATTAAGGCTATATGACTCAAGTGTTAAAGAACTACAAGACATTTAGTTAACCCCCCAAACTGCATGCCTTTCTCTATTTGTTGGAATCTACAGTAATATGAATTCTTGTTAGCATATATACTACATAGATTTAAGACTATATTATTGTGGGCTAATGTGTTTCTTTTCATAAGTCAACCTGTATAAATTAGCCAAATTTCCTTTAGAGCTTTGTGCTAACTTTCAGAGTAATTTTATCTTGCTAATTTATTCTTAGAATTTTAAAGCTGGCCAAAGATTATCAAATACGTCAGAATTTTAAGAAAAATCCCTCTCCCTTGTAACACTCTGCTCATGAAAGGCACTCGACCTTCACCAGAACATTTGATGAAAATGGCTTTCAGTGACCTACACAACTCAAGAATACAGCAAGACCTGTTCATTAGACCATATTCCGTCCTGCAAAAGGCCCATGCAAGCCTGCATCTTCCAGTTTCTTTTGGCTTCCTTTTTGAATGAAAAGGACATATCTACATGTTACTAATATTACCATGTACTATTACTTAATTTCTCTTGACCTCCTCTCATAGGTAATAATTAGAAAAGTTGGATTGAGATTATGAAGAGTCTCGAATGTTGGATTTCGTTCTGTAAACAAGAGAAGCTATTAAAAGTTATTTCCCCCCTTATCCGTCTCGACGCCCGCTTTCCCGGTCCCATGGGAAAAGGTGTGAGAGCTATACTAATGAAGGTGGAAAAGAGCTTTTGATCAATTTTTAAACTTCCTGTCCGTTAGAACATCACAGCTGGTTAGAAATCATCATAGTACCTAGGTAATTCTAACAATATAAGACATGTATCAGTAGGTGTTTTATGAACACATGCAGAGTAACTGGCAGATTCTGGTCTGTGAAGTGACATTGGCTTCCACTTCACTAAATAAGTTATTCCTAGGTCAGGGAGCAGAATAAGCATGTACTGCCAGACCTCTCACATTGTCTCATTAATGGACAAAAATGTGTTTTCCTCGTTCTTGTTTCCTCAGGACCTAACATTATGTTACAATAGGCACTAAACAGACGCCTAAAAGGCAATTATATCTAAAGTATTTGTCTACAGATCTGATATATTGTTCAGAAAAAAACAGAACTGAATTTCAAAGTGGCCTACAAAAGCAGTTAATCAAAACTCAGCTGGAATGGCAATTTTGAAGGGGCATAAACAGTCACTATGTTTAAAATCTGACTCGTCATATTCCTCCGTAACCCATTTCTCACTGTGTAATCTCCGCTTCCTTAATGGCACTACCATTTTCCCTCTCTCTCAAATTTGAAATGTAGTCATCTTAAAAAAAAAAAAAAAAAGTCATATTTGATTCCTCTTCCTCACATGCAGTTTTTTGCTAAATCCTACTCTCCCAAACACTAATAATCCTCACTGATTCTATTACCACTACTCTTGTCCAGAATTACTTCTCTCCTGGACTACTTTTATGGGCCCCTGACCTCTCCAGGCATCCTCTCTATCTGCTAATTCAGATTACACATGCATAACCGCCAGTTTCATTTTCCTAAAAACCAAGGCTCTGATCTTGTCACTCTTTTACTCCACAACTTAATAGGTTCCTACTGTGTTCCAAATAAAGCTCCAACTCCTAAGTGTGCATACAATACATCCATATCCATATCCTGCATCATTCCATCATCGGCCCATTTTACTCACCACCCCCGTTGTCACATCAAATTCATTTTTTCTGATAACTGCACTTGCATTTAAGCTTTCCCCCATTATGTTCCTTATGCCATGCTACCCTCCTCCCTGGTCCCTTAAAAGACATCCCCAACAGCACTGGTTTTCATCTAGGGGTTTGCCCCTAGGGGCATTTGGCAATGTTTGGAGGGGACATTTGGCAATGTTTGGAGACAGCAGGAGTTGGAGGCTAAGGATGCTGTTAAACTCCCTACAATGCACAGGACAGCCCCCCACAACAAAAAATTATCTGACTAAAAATGTCAACAGTGCTGAAGTTAAGAAACCCTGCCCAGCAGATTATTCCCTTATCCTGGCATATAAAAGTAATGTCTCTGTTCTCTAAAAATTCCCAATGTAACGTGATGTATTTATCCAGCGTTGCATTATTGCTAAATCTTACACCCCTTATTCTCCTCCCCTCTATGCTTATGATGCTTTTATTCAAAGATTATTTACTGAGCATCTGTTATGTCTATTAGATGGCAGTCCCAGATGGTAAGCACAAGCACAGGTACCATATCCCAATTATTTCCAGATACCCTATGATGTCTTGCATGCTGAAGGTCTGCAATAAGAATTTGCTGAAAGAGGGCAACTCTCTCTGTGCTTCATTTTGTACCTAAAAACTCAACAATTCTGATATTAATGTACAGGAACAAAGAGGTTACATACATCTATTGACATCTACTAAAATTCAAAATGGCCATTTCTACGTTTCTCACTAAAAATGAAATTAACAGAGGGGCACCTGAGTGGCTCAGTCGTTAAGCGTCTGCCTTCAGCTCGGGTCATGATCCCAGGGTCCTGGGATCGAGCCCAGCATCTGGCTCCCTGCTTGGCGGGAAGCCTGCTTCTCCCTCTCCCACTCCCCCACTTGCGTTCCCTGTCAAATGAATAAATAAAATCTTTAAAAAAAGAAAATAAATTTAAAAAAATAAATAAATAAAAATGAATTAACAGGGAGTCATGAACCCACTTAACAAGTTGTCAGTTAAAAATATTTCATAATAGGGGCACCTGGGTGCCTCAGTCGTTAAGCATCTGCCTTCAGCTCAGGTCATGATCCCAGAGTCCTAGGATTGAGCCCTGCATTGGGCTCCCTGCTTGGCGGGAAGCCTGCTTCTCCCTCCCCCACTCCCCCTACTTGTGTTCCCTCTCTCACTGTGTCTCTCTCTGTCAAGTAAATAAATAAAATCTTTAAAAAATTTTTTTTCATAATAATCAATTAAACCTCTAACAATTAAAATCAACATTAAATAACTTAATAGCCTGAAAAGGACTTTCATAAACTATTCTAGTATGCCATAAAATATGCTTAGCTATGTATATTACCTTATATTGGTACAATAATTTTAGTTTTTCCAATAATATATCTTAGTCTTTTCCTGAAAAAATAAATAACTGCTGGAGAATATCTTTTAAACAGTGGGTAAGAGCCAATATAGTCCAGGTGCTCAATTAATTTAATGAAAACCCTTCCTCCCCTCAAATTTCATACATTTGTCTACATCTGAAAATAAAAGAGAAATAAAGATGATCTCTAAGGCCAAATGGGGAAGTAATGTGAAAATGTACTATAAACGATTAGGCCTCCAGCAAATACTACCATTCCTCAGTATAACACAAAGGGAAGTACATAGACTTAACAAGCAGAATGGGATTGGAATTTCTGCTTAGTAGCTGTGTAGTTCTGTGAGAATTAACTTACACTTCTAAGCACAATCAAAAATGAAAATAATGCCAAGGTTATTATGAGATTTAAAGGCTAACATCTACTAAATACCTAGAAGGGGCGCCTGGGTGGCTCAGTCATTAAGTGCCTGCCTTCGGCTCAGGTCATGGTCCCAGGGTCCTGGGATGGAGCCCCACATCGGGCTCCTTGCTCCGCGGGAAGCCTGCTTCTCCCTCTCCCACTCCCCCTGCTTGTGTTCCCTCTCTCGCTGTCTCTCTCTGTCAAATAAATAAAAAAAATCTTTAAAAAAAAAATGCCTAGAAGACAAAAAGCTACTATAGTTTTAACATTCATTCAACAAATCACTCCCTGGCTGAAATCCCTCCAACTACCGCAGTAATCAGAAGAACTCAAAACTCCACATGTAAACATACAAAATCCTTCAGGATCTGGCTTCTCTCTCTCTCTGACCGAATCTCCCACTCTTGCACTTGCTCAATGCGCTCTAGACATCCTTATAGCCCCGAAACAAGCCAAGCACTTTCCATCTCTGCCCTCTGCTTATTATACAGATCTCTGCACTGCCCACTCAATAGTCAGATCTTGGTTCAAAGCTCCCAAGCCCTCTTGACCACCCGAAGTCATTACTCAATGCCCTTAC